TTATACAGTCTGACCACAATGGATTGGTCACTGGTGGTAAACAGTGTGTTAATGTATAGAAAGTACTGGGATTAATTATTGAAGATTGGTGTTTTGATTAAACAGCTTTCTTTTTAAAGTAAGTCAAATGTGTTTTAAAAATTAAATTAAATTAAAAGTTGTAGCTCTTAATGAGCCATGGCACATATCCACAACCTACTGAGGGTACAATTAAATGTATTATTTATCAATAATAGTTTTCAACAGTTCCTTGATATGTGCTGCTACTGTAACATTACAAAAGCACTGACCGTCCGAAAGAGCTTGAAAAAGTCGACATTTGCGTATAATTTGTCCTCAATGATCTGTAGCCGTTGAGGAGTAAGGATGCACATGGCGTTGCGAACAGCGTGGAGTCCTCTTTTGCTGGGGAAGATGAGGAATCTCTCCAGCAGGTTCAGACTGCATGCAATATCCTTTAAATGGAAGGCTGGAACCCCAGAAGCAAACTGGAGAAATCCAAAGATAGGTTAGGTTGGTTTTAAATTTGAACATTCACATTCTGATATTATTAATGTCTATTACTGAACTTCACAGGTCAATATGTTGTCTTCCTTACCTTAATCAAAATAGCTTTCAAATCAAAGCTTTAAACATTGAATTATAATGTAAAGCACCCCCTGAAACGAGGAATACTAAGCTAAAAATGTAGTATATGTGTTGATTTATATATAATGCATATTGCCTATGTATATTGACTTACTTTCAAATTAACAAGATATGTCAAGTGTAAACTCCAAACAGCCCATTTGTGTATCTATGGATGTGAATGTATACTCTGTGATATGTTCAGCTGTTCAGCTTCTTCTCTCTTGTGAAATGCATGTCGGTAAAGGAGCCCCCAATAATTAAAATAGGGGATTGATTAATGGATGAAATGTAACAACTAAGTCGCCGTAATTGTAAAGCCTGCATCACTACAGAAGTAAACACATATTATACGATCTTCAAATGCTTTTTTAAAGTTAGTGATTCATTTGTATTGTACATTGCCGTCAAGCAAGCAATGAATCAGTGAACGAAACCAAAGTAGGAGGAATCCAGATGGCCTCATGTGTCTGGACAAAGTGGCATATATGGATATATGTGTGTTTTCCTGTTTGTAGGTTGCCAAAGGGAGCTTTCTTCCAGCTGTTGTTCAGCCAGAACTACTGATACCAATGAATCACATTGTGAATGTTCCCAGACACACTAAAGCAAGTCTTTACTTGTAGAATATGTCCTCAACAAAAGCCTTGTTAACATCATCTTACACATGTTGCGCAAGGCTTTCATATGATAAGAGTCTTTACGTCAATGGTTGTGTTTCTGGCATTACATGAATATTTCAAAATTAATGATGAATTGAGGATGAAATGCTAAACATTATATCCTTAACTGTTCAACCCTATTATGTATGTGCATGTGTGCCTGTGTACCTGTTCAGGCCTGATTTGGGCATTTACTAGTTGATACACCACAGCCTGTGTCAGAGGAATGTCTCTCAGCAGGAATGATGTCAGCAGCTCATCGTCCTTTAGGATAGCCTCCACCTTTATTCCTCGGCCTACAAAGAGAGATCAGTAAAAAGAGGATAAACCCAAGCTATTGTAATCTGTGCTCCATTAACCCAGTGGATACCAGATAAGTAAAATAAAACTTCTTTGGCAAGTTGTGACAACTGTTTCATTAAAACAATAGGAACACAGGATGTAGACACTTCAACTCTGCACTGTCTCAGTATTTGTAGTGGCTTGTCTGTGCATGAATAAAGTGTGCTCTGCCAAATGAATTGTCACTGTGGCCTGCATCCAGATTCCGCCCTAAAGTGACTCGCCTTGTGTCCTCATGCACCACTAGAAACCACAAAGAGAACTGAAAGCAAGAAGGGGAGAAGAACTGGACGAAGGTATTCATTCGAAAAATCTAAATATACACTTTCATCCTATAGATTTTACAAATGAGATAAAACGTTAATTGCTGAATTTCACAAGTGGCGGTAGGCTAGCTATAACCCCTTGCTTTGGTCTTTGTGCTAAGCTAAGCTAACCAGCTGCTGGTTAAAGCTTTATGTAAACTGGACTAATAGGAGTGGACATAGATCTCGTCATCTCATTCTCCTTCATTAAGCAAATAAATATATTCCCAAAGTCCAACTATTTCTTATGTGTCTAATTATTAGTATCAAACACCTTTGTAAGGGTCTTGCACATGAAACATACGTGTCCACTCAAACGTTTTATGCTCTCTTTTTTAACAATTACATAACTTGGTTCTCAAAATGATTCAATTTTCTTTTCTAGGCCTCATGGGAAATTGTGTGGAATGTGGATCCATATCTGTGTTAGCCCATATACATGTTTCTCCCTGAGAGTGGCAGCACAAAAAGAACCAGGATGTAATCATTCACAGGCTGGAATGCACTTAGCTTCAGTCAGCTCCCCTCAGAAAGGTTTCTGTAGATTTAGCTGGGAAACCTACTGTTTGTATGTAGACAGTATAGCTGTACATATGTTGACATGAAGAGAGAATTGTTTGCATTGTGTCCCTTGAGATGGGATCAGTGTTTCTATGTTCTCTCATGGAGAGGAACATGGATGAAAGTTGTGTAAAATGCTTTCCCATCAAATAAACAACACACTGATGAAAGTAAGCAGCTTATGTGAAGAGCCTTCCATAAACCCTCGTGAAGTAAGCCTTTTAGCCTGCACAGGTACACAGAGGGATGGGAAATGAATGTGTGAGATATGATTTAGACCAAGGTATTTTTGAGTCAGAGGACATTGAGCTAAGAAGGACACTAAGAATATATTGCAATGCTAAGGCTGTATGTCAACATTTATATCACTTCTAACTGAAAACCGGTAAATCCAGAAAGATTATTTATTTTTCTGCCAGCTATAATTGCTCCCGTGAAACAAGCAACCAGAATGCCCGAACTGACGTTTGAACTGCTCCGACAGACAATTTCAGAGTATTTTTGATCTCCGGATGAAGCACTGACCTGAAATGTGTTCTGGATGTGTGCGCAGGGTGTCCATGAAGTTACTCATAGCATTCAGTTCCCCCCAGAGGCGGCCTAGCTGCAGGAACTCTGGGTCGCTAAAAAGAAGCTCCTGGGCATCCGTGTAGAACCGAGCAAATCTAAGGAAGTCAATGTTAAATCACACACAGTTATTCTTTTTACATACAATACAACTTCAAACATACACACAATGAGTTGATATTTCGATTTTTTTTTTAGTCCAATACATTCTGTTCTTTTATCTTAGATCAAACGTGGATATAATTTGATTCCCCTTATGACCTCCCCCTAAATCCCAGGGTGATACCAACATGGAGTTGTTGTAGTTGGAGACCACTCCAGGAGATTCACCACGGGTAGGGTCTTGAAAACAAGGGTTGTTGGCATTACAGAAGATTCCTTGAATCCATGGCAGGACCCCTGAAGACGGCATGGCCTTGTTGGGGAAGTGGCCTGAGGAAGAGGAGATACTGTTGTCTTCAGTTATTTACACAAGTCACCAATGAGGTATGTTTAAGGATGTCACACGACATTATATATTTGTCTCTGTGAAATGTGGATTTAAATGTTTGATATTTTTTAGTAAACAGTTCTTTGCTTACATTCATGTTGACGATAAAGTGGATTCACTCGTCTAAGCCACACCAGTCCCATGCACAGCATAACAGGCCACATGATCTCCATGAAGAAACGCATCTGGTATGAATTATAATATAAACTTTGTAAATCTGCAAGAATTCTAAACTAGTGCAGTTTCATAGTGTGCGTGTCTGGGCGACAACTTGGCCCATTTTTATGTAATAAACATATTGCAGTAGCTAGAAGAATACATAATGATTAGAAAAAACGTCAAATATTTGCTCAAATCTACAGACCTGAAGAAATTGTAGCTAACTACAACTCTCACAGGGATAAATGCAGTGTGTAAATGATGGATGGGGGGATTTTACCCTCTGCCTCCTGCGGATTGTCCAGTTCTTCCACAGCAGGAGTCTGACCTGTCTTCCTGCCCCCATGGTTTCTCCTTTTCAGCCCTGCAGGGGTTGGCACCAGCCCACAAACCTGCAATCAACCCGTCCACAGTGATCTTTTTAGCTAAGCCATTTCATGTTTTCTTAAAAACATTTCTGATTCAACAAATTAATTAGCATTTAGAAAAGCTACATATTTTTTGTTTCCATCACAGAGGTGTCTATCCTGAGTAACCCATACATGGCTGGAAACAGCTCTGTAATGAGGTTAATGAACTCAATACGCTTCACATGGTCATCATTACAGTAGCGCACGTTCTACAGCTCGTAACTCCTTCAGCACTGTCAATACCTCAAAACAATGAATTGCATATTCAAAGTGCATGTAATAAAAGTAACTTTAACTTATGTGAGTCGTTGCTATTGTGCAATTGTATTGCTACCAGATCACAAATTACAGATATATCAGCTAAATTCCAAAGCATGGTTATAGTCCAGAAGGACAAATAACTTACCTCAGGAGAACACTCGTACTGTAGAGTGAGAGTGAGACCCAATACATGAAGCATAACAGCACATTTTCTACCGAGCGCTCCTTAGGTTTGCTAGCACAGCTAGAATCCAGACCGTGTGAATACTTAAGCAGATTGATTTAATCTCCTTTCTGAAGGCTGTGAGACTGCTAACGCTCTCACCGATTTGTAGAGGCATATGACCTAACCACCTGCCCAAATTATACAGTGTAATCCTATTTATGTTATAATCCTACTTCTGTTTAAAACAAATGTATAAATGCACTTTTAAAAGATATAAGCAACTCTAAACCATGCTCTAAACACGCGTCATGCTACTTTTAGTAGGCTAATACAGATTTTTACTGTGTAATATTTAAAAAAACGTTTCATAACGGAACAGGTATAGGAATACTTCTTTAAATAAATAAAGATGCAGCAAGTTGTTAAGAAAAACATAAACAGACCACCATGTCAATTGGAAGTTGTCAAATATATTTTAATAAGTTACAAAAGGGTTTGTTTTCATGTACCTGTTCTTTTACACTGAACTTTTGAACATGCTGTCAACCTTATACATTACCATGCAAAACAGATACCATTTAAATAAATGATGCACTTCCTATTACTTACAAAAAACTTGTAAGATCTGGGTTATTGATAAAACTAATGCAGTTGTAAAAAGAGTAACAGCTTTGGCTATTAGAAAAAGTCATGTTATATCAAAAATAAGAAAGACAATGCCACCATACAATCCATTGGCATTTCCAAAAGCTTTTCAGGTCAGTGTAAGTTGACACCTTACAAGTTCAACGGTATAAAAACAAGTGGATGTATGCCCTTGCAACTGGTGCTTCATAACATTAGCAAATGACAATGCAGATACCCAGTACAGCATGTAACAAAAGCTCATTATATACATACATTTTTAGCAAAATGATTAATTTTAACCTAAATGTAACAGTTTAACACATTCTGACTCACAGTAGGTCGAAACACAACGAGTATTGATAAGTGCATCAAACTTTTTTTTCAGTGTTCTGGCTACATGCACTATTGTAACGATTCAAACATATTTTTTTGGTATAACATACATAGTGATCCTGTAAGAATGTGGTACAAAATATTCAAATAAACATGGAATTGCACAGTTTAAAAAAAAATAATTATAAATATTCTGACCAGGTGCCAGAGTGTACTGAACAAGTGATTGGTAAATGAAATATTGGTGAATCAAATATACAGCATTTTAAGTGCATCTCGTTTGTCTTTTAAGGACCAACAGCACTTTGAATTCAAACCGTGCTCACAATCATGTGGAAATTGTCATTTGAGCACTTTTGTTTAGATCTCTGCCAGCCCCTGACTCTAAGATGATCACACGAAATGAGCCTCTCGATGTTCTACCTCTTGGAGGCGTCTTGGCCTTAGTCTCTGGTATACTGGTTTGGCCTGGTTTGAGCCCAGTTCCTCAGGGCTAGAGCTGGGAGACATGGCTGCCTGCTCTGCCTCATCGTCTTCCTCAAGAGGCTCATCCACAGAAACCTCTATCTCAATGCCCAACTCCTCCTCCTCCTCCTCCTCTTCATCATCCTCCTCCTCCTCCTCATCTTCTTCCTCTGCGCTGTTGGCTAGTGTACAGTTCTTCAGCTCTTTAGATTTGCTCCCTGATGGGGGCTTGTAGAAAGTCCCTGGGGGAGGCTGCAGAGTTCTTGGAGCCCTGAAAGTTGTTGCGACAGGGTTAAACTTGATTACATTGTCCTCCCTTCTTAAAATCCTATTGGCTCGCACTGCAACAGTGAAAGGTCTATCAGAGAAAACAGTGCTGATAGTGCTCCCAAGGGATAAAGATGAGTTGGGCACAGAAGCTGATAAGTTGCTGGCATCCAGTGCTGTACCCTCTGTGGGCAAACTGGCCACAATTCTGACAGTTTTGGAGGCGACATCATGTTTGTACTGCTTGTCCCATGTCCTGCGTAACGTCTGGGTGTCAATAAATGTACTCCGGTAGTGTGTGCCAACCCGCAATTTTGTGTTCTCGGTTTCGTCAACCTCTTCGATGGACTGGTCAAAACGTCCTCCTTTCCTGTCCTCGTGGTCAGTGCTGTTCCGGGTGTTTTTCTCATCTACTTGGCCTCGGTTGAGTATCCGTTCAGCTGGCAGGCTCACTGGCCGTGAGGAGAGTTTGTTGCGAGGCTGTCGGAGCTGGACCCTGGCCACGGCGACGTGCTGAGAACGACAGAGGCCTCTCTCGCCGAGTTTCGGGGTCTCTGGGGAACTCGGAGACAAACCCTCACTGAAGCCCTCAAAATCCACTTCATCAACTTTAAACAGAGAGAATGACAAGAAGTTAAACATTGATCAACTAATATGTAGTGGACTGAAGAAAAGGCAGCCACAGCCCAGAGAAAGATTTTAACTCTGCAGTAATATGGGCAGAACAGTAATGCTTTCTATTGGTTTGTAACAACACTTACCAGGTTCAAAGTTGCTTCCATTGATGCTTGGCGTGTTCTCCTCAACCTCAGCCAGTAGGTGAGAAGAAGGAATGATGGAAGAATGCCTCTTATACACCTTCAAGCTCTGCTATAATAGCGAAATAGACAAGAATGAGTTTAGAAAACAAAAGAGTTAGCTGAATAGAATAGAATAGTTTAATGTCATTATACATGTGAGATAAATGCTTCTCCCTTTCAAGGGTGCCATCAAAACAAAAACATCACAACATAAGACAACAAAATACACGTAGCATACATACTTAGGAATAAGGGATAAAGGAATAAAGAGTAAAGTGCAGTAATTATTTCCAGGAGTATAAAATAAAATCTGTAATGTAATAAATAATAATAATAGTGTGTATTTATAATAATAATAATAGTAATGATATGTATGTATATGTATGTACAGAGTCACATTGATTCACATGATTTCAGGTGTTAAGAGCAATGATGGCTCTTGGGAAAAAACTGTCTTTGAGTCTGTTTGTTTTGGATGGGATACACCTGTAGCGCCTGCCGGAGGGCAGCAGGTTGAACAGGTGAAAGCCGGGGTGTGAGCTGTCCTTGATAATGTTTTTGGCTCTACTGAGGCAGCGGGAGGTGTGTGATATTGATACAATCTTAATACATGCTGTACGACTGTTTCCTAATTACCTCCTTAATGTCTCCCAGCGACTTTGAGTGCCTGCTCAGCTGCTGCTCCTTCTCCTGGTGCGTGAGGCGGTTTGGGCCATCAATTTCTATAGGCGAGGTCCGACTCAGTGGACTGAGGGGGGTGTCAAAGATCATCTGGTAGTGTCTGATCAGGAGCTCCACAATGAGCGCCTGATACGGATAATCCACCAGAGAGGAAAGGGAAACTTCGGCATCGGCTTGCCTTGGTTTGATGAGTGTTGGGCCAAAGATGATGCCCAGGTTACTTGCTGTCATCTTATTCTCATCCGACTGCTCTGTGACCCTGGAGAGAGGAAAGAGTATTGCTTAGAGTCACATCTCTACTTGTAAAATCACCAATTTAATAATGCAGAAATGTATATTATTGGTTATTTGAACGCCATACCGGTGCAGATGTTCTATGAGGAACTGCAGTGTCTTGTAATGAGCTGGTGGCAGATGCCTCAGCAGGTCTTTGATCTTGAAGAGGATCCGGTTCAGGTCCACGCTGACCTGGGGCTGGGTCACCGGGGTTGGACTCAGCCGAAAAGCCTCCAGTTCCTCCACAATAATACCCTGGCTCTCCTTGGCCAAACCGATAAAGTCATTATAATAGCGGAACAGGATGAGAGGCTCTGGGAGCTGCATAGGGAAGGGAAAAAAGAACCATAAAAACAAATGAAAGCAGGAAGTTAATAATAAACATAGGCAACTGAAAAATGGAGGTCAATAGGGACAGAATTAGAAATGAGATAAGCACCAAAGGGAAGTGGGAGTTGTACCAAAAAATAAACTAAGATAAATAAATAGCACAGCAGTGGTTTTGTTATGCAGAGCACACTTTTAGCAACATAATGAACAATACCCATTTACTAGTAAGTCAAGAACAAGTGTTTTAAAAGCAGCCAACCTGTCTCAGGTAGAGTTTGAGTACGTTGCTAATGTCGTGGGGATAAAGTTCCGAGAGCTCCACCAGGTCCTTGCCATTCTCAAATGCCTGGCAAAGCTTCTCTACCCGGGACTTGGCACCATTCACTCTGTAGATACCCTTCGCAGCACAAAACCAAAATACATTTAACACATGAAAATTAGATGCATGATCAACAGGGTAATCACTGCCGCAGAATATCAACAGGATACACCAGTAATCTAAACATCATGCAGTAAATACATGCAAAGTGTAGGTCAACAAATGTAATGGGGGTCATAGAATTTACAAAATGACTTGCAATGAGGTTAAATGATATTTACGACAGATTTTCTCTTAAATCTGAATATTTTGAGTGGAAATATAAAAGCATTAAAGCCTAAAAGGTTTTAAATGTGAGCAATAGCATGAACTCTTCTCTCTCATATTTGACTGAAAGTACCTTAATGTTGAGTGCTCTGTTCTCGATTTCGGATGTACACTTCCGTAAGATAAAGGGGACTCCATCTTGACTGTTCATGGCTGCCTGTGTGAAGTCGATGCCAAAGAGGTGGAGCTTCCCCTGGAGCTTCTTATGGCCACACTGGATGGCCAGGGTTTCCAGGCATTTCTTATGGCAGGCTAGCGAACACTGAAACAATGTTGAGAAGTATGTCAGTTTTTTTTACACACAAACAAATGTAAAGACAGGGATCAACATAGGATAGTTTTGGCTACTTCTTTAAAAAAACTAGGAAGGAATGCTTCATGTTTTGTAACCCTTGGAACCAATGCCATGGAAAGATGCAGAGGTAAATCCTACATTCTTGTCAATGTGTTTACTGCCATCATTACATAACTTTAAAAAAAAAAAACTTAAAACGTTGTGTTATTGTTTTTGTACGACTGTTGGATCTAATAAATATGGAAAGAAACTGGATCTAAAATAAACAGTGCGCAGGCGACTGTGTGAAGACGAACAAAAGGTCTTCAGTTTCCACAGTCCGTTCCCCACTGAGACCAGTTGATGGATTTGGTCTGTGAGGAGAGGGAAGCTGAGGTCTTTCTTTTTTTGTTAGATTTTTTGCTCACCATGAGTGACAAAGATGCCGTTGTGAAACGTTGGCAATGTTAATATAGAACTTGTAATACTCTGAATGTTGTGGAATCACTACAATTAGTGAAGGTCCAAATAGAGGCTCTTCGTTGGCATTTTGTTCCATTAGTTCTTAAACTAAATGTGAAGAAAAGAAACCAGGGTTACCTCCTCACACTCGGCTCCTTGAAACACCACCAGGCTGTCACACTCGCGACACTTGGATGGCGCTCTAAGCTTCCTCAGCTTGTGACTTTGGGCAGCTTTGGACATCTGGGTGTTTCTGAAGGGACCTGGGGAGCTGGCTGTTTCGATTATCATCTCACTTAAACCTGCAGAGTGGAGGGACAGAAAGAAGGAATTAATGGAAAATACAACAAAAACAAAATGTACGCTAATACTGTTGGAAAAAGGTAAACATATGTAGTATAATTTTGAAGATTTTCTCAAGAATTAGATTAGATCATTTCCCAAAATGTAATCTAATCAAATAATTAACAAAGAGACAAAAATATAGAGAATCAGTGGATGATTGTATCTAATGTTCAAGTAGTTGACTCACCATTATCAGAGGGTGAAGGAGGCTCCCTCTCATCCAGGTCATCAGCAGACGACATAGTGCCGGTGGAGGGGGTTCTGGGTAATCTCCTCTTGAAGTCTCCTGAGCAGTAAGGCATCACACACCAGTAAGTCCACATCTTCTAATCAAGTCAATTCTATTACATTCTCCTTGTTGTGTCTCCTGTGAGGTGTGTTACAGTGGTGGGACTGAGCAGAACTGAACCGGACAACTTCCTGAATTCAAAGCGCCACATAAAAAGGTGTGGCCAACTTCATGTCATTGATAATCAGATACCAGTAGGGGATTGTGGGTGATTAGCGCCTCCATCGACTCTTGAGTTGTTTTTAAAAAGGTCCCATCGTTAAAATAATTTTGTCGATTTTTTGATGGTCCAAATAAATAGGCTCATCAGGGATTAACTGTGACACCATTTACACTCTGGGGGTTGTATGTATGGTTGGTGAGTAGGGGTACTTTAGATTAACATGATTCATTTTCACAATCTTGATTGTATTGCTATTATGGTATTGACAACATACCATCCACCCCTAGCCAAGGATAGCACTGATCTTCCTGGTAAACTGTCCATCAGTGGCACACATTAATAGGAGAAAGGATAAACAGGGTTTGTTTGAATGTCGGAGGAGATCTGCCACATCCTTATGTTTAGGAAGAACATTTTGGAAAATTACACTACAACACATATGTATTGTTAGAGTAACAGAAGAAAAATAAACCTGCACCAACACTAATGTGTTTGTTTGTCTTGTAAACCCATAGAGTTGCATAATGTTCAACAAGAGGCACCAGTGTCAGAGGTTGCTAGGCCACTTGATTCTACGATAACACAACAATAAAGTTGGTTGAACATCAAGTCCATACAAAATAAAGGTCTGCAAGCCCCGCAGGCAGTTAAGATAGTCAGCGCTGAGGAATGCCTCTCCTTATACCTTCTGCAAGGTGTCTTTGTCATTGACAGAAGACTGGTACACCTGAACAAGGTGTTGCGAAACATCTTGGCTTTCTTGGCTGGGTAGCAATCATAACAGCCTGACAGTAAATGTCTTGTAATTTCATGATAACACGAAACCAAATTAGTTAATTCATTAAATGACTGGGTGTGGGTAATGAACTCTTGAACTGGGGATGGTTTCCTGACGGGCCGTACCTGGGCTTGCAGTGGGGGAGTCCATGGACCGGGACTCGCTGCTCCCTCCAGCACTCTCTGAGTCACTGCACATCCCTCCACCCTGACTGGCTGAGGCCCAAGGACGAAATGAGGCCTGAATCCGCAGAGCTGGATAAAAACATATTACAATTTGAAGTTGCTCATGAACTGTTCGCCGGGGACTCGCAGCGGAGTTACTGCGGAGTGCATGAAGCAGACGCTTTCACGCGATAGCGGAGCGAACAGGTACAGGAGGGGTAGTTAATCGATCGCAGATGGCGTCGTGCTCGCGGACGGATAACAAAAGATTAAACCTAAATGGGTCGCGCTATATATTTTGGCGGACGTTAATATACCTGGGCGGCCCGCCCAAGTAAAGTCTATGTGTGGGAAACCCTGCAATACATTTACATACAAATACAACAAGACTGTAGAGTGTAAAAGCCAATTGACACTCATCAACCTTTATTTGATTTTTGTTTTCAAAAACAAAGGGGGATATCACAAAGCTAGCTGTCTTTTATATTTGCTCCCCAACATTTTGTAGTGCTGAGTAGTGATAATGTAGGAGTTATTATCTTGGTCTGCTGCACAATGAAATCTTTCGCCCAAATCACAACATAAACTAAAAAAGTATTAAAAACCTGTAGGCTTAATGTTAACCTGCGTACCTTGGATATCAGTGCTGCTGTTGGAGCGCTTTTCTGTAATCTTGGCATGTTGGGAAGAGATGGGACTTTCTACTTCATCTGCGCCAATGATGTCAGAGGTCACAGATACCTGAGACAGGTTACTGTGGGACGAATGGCTGCCACTCAGCGAGCGCTTGGTGAAAAGCATCCTAGGGAGAAAAATTACAGAATAAAAATAATGAAGTTGTAACTGAAGGTTTTCCAGAGTAACATCATTGATCAGAATACATTATTAAGCAGTTTCATATCATCCTAAACCCGTTGTTCTTCATGTTCAATTGGATTATTACTCATAATAAAAGTCCACTCTATCTACACAGCCCAAAACTTATCTTTAAATACTACATTTGGATAAGGGTACACTCAATAAAATAACATAAATTAGCAAGAATAAGGAGAACCCTCAATAAGATTGGATTTCTTCCTGTTTTCCGTTAAACAGTGAGATGTATGTCTAACAATAACATTTGTTTTTAAATGATATCTATATCTGTACTTCAACATGATAAGAATATCTCCCAATTCCATCAGGACTTAACAGATACTTGAATAACCATGAGATCAGCCCAACCAACATCACCATCAAAGAGAGCAAATCATTTTAGTTTAACGATGATTAACTGAAAGACTAGTAAATGGCCTAATTGCAACTCGTGCCAACCATTGTTAACAAAAGTATCCTTACGATCTCACAATATAAAGTATGGGGCTCAGCAGGCTATATTTAACCTTTTGAAAGCCAATGCTGAGGATGTATCTGAGCATGTGTGTGTCCCTGAGTTTAATTTCCTGTCTCCCAAGCTGAATTATTTTGATCAGAGGAATCAGGGTTGAGGTTGGGGGGGGGGGTCTGAAGAAGAACAAAGCACTCTCTTATTTCCATCTGTCTGCGTGGGTGCGTGTGAGTGCAAATCTGTGTCAACAAAACCAGCTTTTTCTGACCAAAGCATTCCCAAGAACTTACTAAAGATGACTCAAATTTGAAATCACAGCAGTGTTTTTCATGTTAGTCGGAAACACTATAGATTTCTATTAAATCCTTCCCAGAGGTGAAGTGTAAGTGGTTGTAAGCCCACAGACCCAGCTCCTCTCTCCCGTGACCACAGTCATTTCCGCAGGAAGCCACCGCCAACCCAATTGTTTTAAGCTTTCCAAAACAAGCTTTCTCACTCAATCACTCCGTCGCTCACCACTGAGGTCCAACAGTAGCAAAGACTATTACAGTTACTCAATGTCCCTGCATCAACAACTATTTGTTTACCATAAATACAAAAACATGTTCCAACAGACCCATGAAGCAAGCTTTAGACTAGAAAAACTAATGCTGTAAAAATTATCGCGTTAACAGCGGTAATTCATTTTTTGAATTAATTGCGTTAAAATATTTAACGCATGTGCAGAATGGCCCGCCCCATACATCCCACCAGTGGCAGCGCCAGGGTATGGCTGGGGTAGGCTACACCCATACCAAGAAATGGCTTAGCCCCACCATGAAAAATGATGTTAAAGTAAGCTAAATAAAGTGCGCCAACTCGCGTCGAGTAAATTGCACAGACAGCAGTTAGTAGTAAGATTGATTTCAGTAGCCACTTGTCTGGAAATACCGAAGACCAGAAACGGTTTTGAAAACTTTTGTCACGTAGTGATCGTCTTCTCAATAGAACATCTTTGATAATGTCTTCTGGCCAATCAGAATCACGCGGCAACAATCTGAAATGCTTACCGTCACTTGTGTCACAAAGCGCATTTGCGTACCGACGTACTTGTGAAGCTTTTCCAGAAGGCGGTTAGATCACCGTGTTGATATAAATCAACACGTAATGAAATAAGACCCCACGGTTTGATGATAGGTGTGTGGGCCGACTTTCATTTTGACACACAGAACAATGTTATAATAAACATACATACATAGGCTACTGTATGTTAAATGGATATATCCGCCTTCTTTCATTTATCTTTCCATTCCCACAACAATATACATAAAGAAATGGCATTTTTGGACATAGTTCGAATGGTGATTAATCATGATTAATTCATCTTTAAGCTGTGATTAATCTGATTAAAAATGTTAATCGTTTGACAGCCCTAAAAAAAACAGTACATGTGGAGGGACTGAAATCTTTTCAAATTGATGAGAAATATAAATGTAATGGCAAAGAAATAGATGTCTCACCCTGTGTTTTGTGTGCCAGCTGAATCAAACGAGTGGGACTCCAGGCGAGGCCCATCAGTGGGTAGACTCCTGACAAAGTCGATATAGCGTTGGCCAGGCTCGTAAAGTTTGGCGTTCTCACACAGACTCTGGTGGTTAACAGGCAGCGATACCACCTGGGCTTGCTGAAGCTGGAACCAATTGACCGTCATCTGAAACAAGGAACAAGCGACATGAAGCTGGGAATCCTGATCAGTTTAAGACACAATACTTTATTTCTGTTATTTAAGTGGGTCCACATTTTAAATTAACGAGTAGAATGGAACTTACAGCCTTGAGGGTGAGGTCGCACTGGGAGACCACCTCTCGTATCTGAGTGATGATCTCACTCTTGTTGTTCGCCAGGTCGACTCTCTTGTCCCCGACATCAATCTGACACGCTTTGCAGTGCTCCCTTGCTTCCTCCGCCTGAAGAAAAAAAGGGAGAAAATAAATGTCTATCTGATTGATCACAATAACATGATTTAAACCTGGATTAACTTTAGTTACAACTGCTTCCAGCCACTTGGTCTGATGTTGACGAACCAAGATTGAAGCGCAAGAGATGATCTGCCATCCCTTATGTTTATTTATTTGCTGAACATAATGATTGCCATTTGTGTTCACTGGATTCCTGTGTTGTTTTTTGGCATTTATAAAAAGCAAGTTACAGTTTCATTGACAGTGTGCACGTTGAATAGGGCAACTAGGGAGCCTGCTTTGTGGCCATGGTATACATTTTTGATTCTGGCCCAGAATACTATTTATGCCTCTCCGCTTTCTCTGTCTTTCAAAGTCCAATAAATGTCCACAAAGTATAGGAACCCAGGAGTGTTTAGTACTTGAAAAAAGAAACACCTAATATGAGGGCCAACAGATATATATGATGCACTACTAAAAAAAGCGCTACAGGCCCAACAGCAGAGGGGACGTACCTTCTGCAGGGCCTCCTCCTCCAGCCTGCGCCTCTTCTCCAGCGGTTTGGCTGTTGCTGCTCCTCCTCCTCCTAAGATGTGCTCCTCCTCCAGGCGGCTGGTGGACACCTTGGCCTTCTCGTACTCTTCATGCCGCTGGGCCTGCAGCAGCCGAGCCTTCCTCAGAGCACTGTCTGCCTCATTCTGTAGACACGCACACATTTAGTTCATAGTACACAGACAAACATACATAATACCATGAATACCACACATACAGTATGTACAAGACAAACACTGATTACAGTGTACGAGTGGCTGACCTTGTAATTTTTATTTTATTTTTATTTTTCACAATGCATCTGAACACTGCTATCAGTCCAACAATGCTAACACAAATTATTCAATCCTCTTACAAATTAAAAACTAATATGAAATAATTACTTTATAACCATTGTAGTAGAATATTCCAAGATATGGAAGCTTAACTATTGGAACTTAACATAAACAAATTAATTATGAATTGATTTAAAAATTACGTATAATTTTCTTTTGGGGTGTTTCGTGTTATTAGCTTCGTTAAACATTCTTTTTCTGTCAAAATGTCAAAAATAATGATTATTCTGGTGCCAAAAAAAGCATTTGTTTTACTTTGCATGCTTAGACATTTCAAGAGCACCCTTGAACCGAGGCCCCAGGTCAGTAAAACATCTTTAGATTCTGTGTGCATGGCCCTCTACAGAATGCAGCCTTTCTGGCAATAGACTCACCATTTTCTTTTGCTCTCTTTGCCACTGCTCCTTGACCTCTTTTCGTAGTTTGTCCAGCTCGTTCTTTCTGGCTTGGAGAGGCTGGAAAGAAATGAATAATCCCCACACCACACACAGTCAGTGAGTCCTCTTGTCTCCATTATTCAAGGAAAGTCTCAGTAAAGAAGTGCATCTTTTGCTGAGTTGCATTACCTGTATGAATTTGTTGCTTTGGAGTACTGCTGCGGTGTGAAGTACCAGCTGGCTGTATTCAATATCATTTTTGAAAGCGGTCGTGTAGATCTCACGGAAGGGCATGAATTCCTTAAATGAGAAGGAGAACGTGTTATTGTCAATCCCTTACAGCCAAAATGTGGCAGCACATTTTTTGTGAGCTGCAACATCTACTCACCTGTTGACTCGCAAGCGTCTTGGCAGATTCGGCCATTTTGGCACAACTCTTTGCACACTCAATATCTGAAAATAGACAAAACCTCGGTTAAATATACTACATACAGTGCTCTCAGTGTATCAGCTGTTCAATCTTAAATAAAAACAACAGTAACTAAAAACAATTTAAGCATTTTCTGATGAAATCACACAATGTCCTTGAGTCATGGGAGAAATCTATCAGATTAATCAGTAGATAAAGTATTAACCAAAGTAAATGTGTTAAACAAATGTACTGTACAGCTTGACTGAGTGCTTTGTGTCACTGTGTTGACTGGAACCATTCATTAACCAGATCGCCAAACAAAAGCTTTCACACCGCACACTCAACCTTGAGCCTGTATAAGACTTCATTGTTTTAAGTCCAGATCAGGTGTTGAGAACAAAATGTTCAGGAAACAGGCGCTCTAATTAATCCTAAGCACAGCATTTTAGACTTATTTAGGAAATGTTTAGCCACCCTCTATCCCAGGTCAGCTATGTTTACATAAATTAACCATGAAAAGAATCAAATAAATCCTATTTCAACCTGAACAAAGCTTCAAAAAAAATTCTAAAACTAGAACTGGTCAACGAAGCCAAAAGAAAATACATAAGGGAACTAAATGTAAACTAAATTAAATTGTACTTTACATCAATTCGAAAGTTGTTGTTCAATAAGTGTACATAAGGACTACATGGAAACAGTAAAAACATTTGATTGTCTTATTTACAAATCATTTTTGACTGATTTTGATTTAAGCCTTTCAAAATATCTGGAGGACATCATTAAAACAATCTAACAATCATTGTTTCAATTAGTCATAAGAATAAACAACCTTAGTTGCTTTTTAAGACAAACAATGTGCATGACCAGTATAACAAAACGTCTCATTAGGATTCCTCGACATGACTAACCAGAAGTATGTAATGAAGTACTCAAGTTAAGTACATGGTCTATGACACTTAAGACCTGACAGCTGACTTTTGTCAGTGTGATAGGTGCTAATAATGTGCTTCCTCCCCTACATGTCAGAAATGCTGCTGTACCACAACTCACCCATACTGAGGCGCTTCTCCACCCACGCCAGCAGCTCTTTGGTGTACTTGGACCAGGCCTTGGCGTAGAGCAGCGCTGACTCCACCCCGCTGTCCTGTCGTTGCAGTGTCCTGTCCACTTCTTCTGCCCGGACTGGCGGAGACAGCCCTGTAAAAAATGTTAATTAAATATGACTGCCAGCGATCAAACAACCCCCAAGCATCAGGCTAATCACCCCTGTTGGACGTGCTACAAACGTAAGCTAACATCTGTGCCTGTGAGTCAGGAGAAAAGCCCACGCTGACCCTTGGGTGTTAGCTAATACCATTTGAGGATAGGTAATACTGACAGTAATTGCTGGATGTATTAATAAGTTGTTGAGGTGGGATGACTGGTAATCAAAGCTTTAAAGCAAGTTATGCTCTTACCTAAGATAACCCTACAATGGCAGTAGCACAGCAACACAGTAGATCAGCTGAGATTGATTTGTAAATTAGTTTTTTCCCCACAATCCTGGCAGGATAACGTTCCCCTCACACTTTCACCGAGCAGCACCAGAGTACAGTAGCTGTGTGTTAGAGAGAACCGTCTTACCTGGCGGATCATCTTTCTCAGGACCGGATCCTCCAGATTCCACGGAGAGGTTCTCAAAAGACTGAAAAACAGACATTTGAAAAATAATCCACAATGGGAAGGAGGAATTTCCTACTTAAAGCACAGTAGGCATTGCTACTTGAAGCATGCCTTATCGGATCCTTGACTTCCTCTTTAAAGCTGTTTTGAAATATTCTACCGGAAAACAGCAAATCATAGCATCAATTAATCATTTGCAGGAACCATTTTGGGAACATGCGTCAACCAGCAAGCACTCACTTAACCCCTGAACTCTGCTGGGTAATGTTGAACATATCGCTTTCAGGGGATGAAGGCCACATCCTGAAGCTTATGGTATGGTACAGACTAACAATACATTTATTTTTAAAGTATGGTGGCTACATAAATAATACCAATACCAGCCCTTTGATTTGTGATGCCTAGTGGAGTTCTCAAAGGTGGTTAGTGCCATTTTGATGCCATTTGTTTGGGGCCGGTGTCACAAAACACAACATGGATATTGTACTTTTCTTACCCTGCTTCTTTTAGTTAGGGGGAGCCCCAACACTGATCCATTCTCTACATCTCCCATAAGGAAGTCAGACACTCTGCAGGAAAACAGAAACACAAATGAATAAACTGGATTGGAAAAAGTGGAAATTGATCAGAGAAAACATCAAGGAATATGTTAATGTTACTAACTAGCAAAAGACAGATAACTTCAATAATGCAGCAAAGGCCAAGATGTACAAAGTTCTATTCTCCAGCATGGGTCAAGCTTTTTGGTAAGCCGTGTGTGTAAGATAGTGGACACATCAGTTATAACATTATACTTACACATTGCCAAATGTGAACGCCAATGTGTCAATAGCAGTGTAGATCTCTCCGAAAAGCTTCTGTTTGTTCTCGTCGTTCACCTCCTTAAAGTTCACCCCTGTCAAGAAGTGAATAAGTAGGATTGAGTAGGAGCAAACCTAAACCCATTATTGTGGAGACATCCTGCACTAGCACCACTGATGTAGCTGTAATTAAGGAATGATCTGCATGGTATGACTCATCATCCTGTGTGTATGAGTCAAGTATTGAGTCAGTGTCTCCTGAGTCATGCTGTGCTCTTCAAAACACTGGGAGCTAAGTCAATTCTCAAATTTAAAAAGTCCCTTGCAGACATCCAAAAACAACTTTGTAACTTAAAATCAGAACAGATAAGCAAAGACTGCAAGTGTATATATTTGGCTGTAATCGGCAAAGGCAGTAGTTTCCTGCTTTAAGTCTAAACACAGTAATGAGTGAGGACAGAAAGGGGGAAAACACCAGTGTAAATACGGCTGTAATCAGTCTTCACAATAAACTTCCTGTCCTGACTGAGCAAAGAGAAAATAAACTCGGAGAGAGATGCTCAGAAAATGAGCCTAAACACCAAGCCATAAATCAGTGATGTCACAGACCATTCCGCTGCCTCCATGATTTCCTCAGTCTTTCCTTTCCATTAGAACAATGGGGATTTCTCAAGTTCAAAGACTCACAGGGCAGACATTTTAAATCTGCTGTCTTAAGCTATTTTCATCAAGCTAAGCATAGACTATTTTTCAAATGTTTCTTTTTGTGAATCTTAAAAACCTCAAGCTGGGAAGAGTAAACCTTCAACTTGTCTTGAATACTTTCTTAAATCTTTGATGTACACTTTAAACAGTATCTGCGCTTACAACCATACATCTTTAGCCAAGTACTTGAAAGTTGAAATGCACTCAACAACCAACGCCTAACAAATACGAAGATTCTTCCTCAGTGGCTTTCAGATGTCGAGGAATGAGTTTTCTTGAAAAGTATACTGTGGCAAAAATTGACAAACTACCAATTACCCACCTCACAACTTCCTAATTTCTTCTGTTAAAGCTTAGCTGTCTTGTTAACTCAACAGTAGACCCTACTGTGAGGTGACTTTTCTGTCCAAACACCCAAAAGATGCCACCAGTAAAAAGGTAACTCGGCAAAAAGAAGTCCAACGTAAACGTATTCTTCTCTCAGTCACGGGCATAGGAAGTGTTAGGATTCTGTCAGAAAGATGTCAAAAAAGGGATCCAAAAAGGGGTCCAATGTCCATGGGGCCCTGGGAGCCTCTTTCAATCCCAGGACAGCTACTGTAGCGACCACTATTCAAAGCACAGAGCTCTCTTGTGTTGGTGCATCTCCCCTTCTGTCCAACCCCTACCCCCAACAGGACATCCTGAGGCTTGCTGGAATACAATGCCACTACTCGCTCAGGCCCCAACCAGTGGTCCAATCGTGGAAGTTACATCATCGTGGAAAAATGGTATTGTTTCAATGGAAAAGCACAACACTCTTGAAACACTCGTCAGCAGCAAGGTCCATGAAGAACTCAGGTATAGGAGGAACTTTTCCTCAGATAAAGAATAATTCTAGGATGTACCAACTACACTTACAAATTGATAGGAAGTGTCCCAGGGTGGAGGAAGTGACAAAACTCTGTATGAACAACTATTTAATCAAGTGTTTATGAGTCAGATGATTCAACATTTTTAGCATTAAAATCACCGTCAGAACAAAACAAAACCTCCTGATCAAATGACTGTCCTTCATTGATGACAGCATAACAACATTTTACATCTTCATGTTGTATCAAATCAGCAGCTTTGATATATGGCAGTGACTATTTATGGTGTGCACAGCTGATATCACATTGTCACTATGTGAGGGTCAAGAATAGAAGTGAGCAATTCTGGCCATCTAGTGGACAGTAACATTGCTTCACTGCACATTATCATAAGAAGACACTTCTTTAGATATAGCACTTTCACGGGTGTCCTTAAACCAGTCAATTAATAAGACTATTTAAAAAAGGCTGAAAACCTTGAATCTTAATTTCTGAGAATGTTTTCACCAAATCAAAGGCATCGATAGAACCACTATTGCATCGAAGACATCCTAATAAAAAAACCGTCTTCCTCTGTTTCTCTATTTTACAACAACATGTTAGAATGACACAAATGTTCACGTTCATGCACAAATGATATTGAAGTGTCTGTTATTATTCATTGTTGTGGGGCTTTTTATCTTAATGTGTGGATATGTGTAAATGTTTCTGTTGATTGTGTATATAGGATATACATATTTTTCATACATATCTGTATTACTGTATAATTTTACATTCGGGATTGTTGGAAACGTCATATCGATTTCTCTGTCTGTAAACACAAACTGACATTGACAAAGTCGGGATTTGCTTTCACACAATAGTTGTTTATGCCATACATGTCTGCACACAGCCATGTGTTTAAGGACTTATTTCCATTTTTACCTTGAAGGTGTACATTCATACAGTACACACAGCATCTTCAGGCATTCTTTCTTCAACATGTCACTGTTCCTTCTTAAGGGAAAGCTTTTCAAAGAACTAGGGAGCCCCTCTGTGCCCCTCTTTGCAATGCAAATTGAGACGAGGTATACTCAGGGGATTCTTGTGTGGCGGCCAAGTTAAGAATTGACCTGCATGCCAGATCATAATCTCAGAAAATGAGATTGAATAGGATTCCTCTGTGTAGTTCCCTCTGGACTGGCAGACAAAGCACAAAGGACACCCTTCTTGAATCATGTATCTGACTCCCAAATATTATTTTCTTACTCTCTGTATGGGGTTCGAAAACACATGCTGCTGCTTTCTAAGCCTTTGAGTGACTTCTGAAGGACTGCATTGCTTTGAAGCTTTAAGAAAAAGATTCACTAACACTCCCTGGGAAGTTCTTTTAAAGACTTGGAAAAGACAGTGTGAGAGAGAGGACATGGTAATACTGCATGGCCAGGAGAGAAAAAACGTCCACGGAAAAGGGGGGAATAGATAAGAAGAGACAGAAAACAGACCGAAGGAAGAGTGGAGGAGTGGCTGGTATGTTTTACAGGAAAGCTGTGTGTGTGTGTGTGTGTGTGTGTGTGTGTGTGTGTGTGTGTGTGTGTGTGTGTGTGTGTGTGTGTGTGTGTGTGTGTGTGTGTGTGTGTGTGTGTGTGTGTGTGTGTGTGTGTGTGTGTGTGTGTGTGTGTGTGTGTGTGTGTGTGTGTGTGTGAGATCTGTTCATCATCGCTCACCTTTGACCGTGGCGATGACGGTTCCAGCTGTACTGAGGATGTCCACTGAGTTGAGGCTCTGGTGTTTGCTGATAATAGCCTTCAGGACTCGCAGCAGCTCCCCGAGACGCTCGTGCGCCGCATGATGGAGGCAGTCCTGGTGCTCTGAAAAGTTATATACATTACAAACATACAATACACCAGTTGATGTATAATCAACTTCTGAGTAATAATGCTAATGATTTTCATTTATGTTGCATTTATTCCATGTTTTAATAAGCACAGTGTGGATGTATTGTGGAGGCAAATAATCTCAGAGGACCATTAACAACATTAAGTCACAATGTAATAATAGATCATTTGAGTGAAGGCTCATACTTTTGACTCATGTTGATGTAATTTACAACTCAGGTCAAGCCCCTACATGCAAACCATTGGGGAAATAAATGCTAGATGTAGTTTTAGGGTTACACCACAACTTCCAAACAAAAAGGACTCTGGTCACTTATTGTTTAAGATAGTCAGACACAACAACTGCATACAGTATCAAACACTGAAAGCTCATTGCCAGCTCCTAAATGATCCGTTAGCTTTGTTAACCTTTGAACAATAAGATTATAAACGATCAATTGTACAGTATTTCTATGCAACAGGTCATTGTTTAATAAGCTATACAACATGCTATTTAAAATGTCCAAATACTATTTGATGCTATGAATTGTGTCTTCAGTCTGATTAAACATATTAGGGGACTTGTACAGTGTTTCAACACTGAAGCACAGCAATGTATCTTGTGCTTTTAAACCTGAGCAAAATGGATTTAAAACCAACCATTTTTTTAAATCTTCCTGCTTTACATGAATCATGCAACATCACTGGAAACAAAATGATTACTCTATACATTCCAGCCTTGTTGGTTGAAAGAGTGACCATGGCAGCCATGTCAGTCTACTGTCTGTCTATGCAACTGCACCATAAAGCAGAGACGCTGAAGGGATTGCACACAACTCAGCAAACCTACACATAAAAGAGTGCTGACCTGAAAGCCCAGTGCAAAAAATAAACATAATTTACCATGGCTTGTTCTACAATTAGCAGTAAGTTAACCAGAGAAAACATGGCATGTCAGGAATGTGGTCTTGTGTACAAGAGGTGACTTTACTAACATTGAGTCACGGCCATTTCAAAAGGGACAAAATGCACTTTGCTATCAGGTAACATCTTGACATTGTTGAGGAATGAGGTAATGAAAAGGAAAATATAAATGATTACCTGAGATAAGGTGAAGGTGTTTTCTTTACTACGTATGGAAACATTTTTAGTGCTACAAGATATTGTGAAATGGTTCTGACAAAGCAAGAATGACTCGCTTAACAAAGATGACTAATAAAAGAGGAAAAGGGGACATACTCAAGAAATACACAAACAGACACACAATATTGACTAAAATATGTTCCTGTCCTAAACTGTAAGCACACTAATTACATAGTAGGCTGCTTGGCAGGTTGTTTTATTTGTGATTATTATATTCACATTTAAAAAGTATCACCTTCTAACTTCTGAGTAATGGTTGAATAACAAAGATACACACAAACACACACACACACATATATATATATACACACATACACACACACAAAGAATGGAACAGGCAGTCAAAGCCACATTTTGTGCTGACGATCACCCCTGGATTACCCCTTCATGAAAGGGGGATCAGAAAGACTAGCTGTCTCCCATTTTTCCTTTTATTCATTAGGCCTCTTTTTGGAGTGGGACAAATAGTGCCGCCAGTGGGGCTAATAATGGTGGGACTGTGTGACAATGCTTTTCTGAGTCCTGACCCGGAAATCCAGCCAACTGACCACAGAGTGACATGTTGACGTTGCCCAACAGGTCACAACAATAATCAAACAACATGGTATGAAGAACTGAAGAAAATTCACTCAGTAACTGTAAAGAAGAAGTTATAGAATGCCCAAGTCTCCATTGGAGTCTGGCCGACTCTGTTTTTCTTAATGAATGAGACACAACATTCATTATGTGCCAAATGGCCTTACTTTACTGACAACTACAATGCAGCCAATCAGCACACCCTGCAAATCAACAATGAACCACTTAACATAAACCCTGAGAGCTTGAGCGATTGACTAAGGGGCAATTCCGGGAAACAACACTGCAAGTAAAGTCACAAGGCAATTCCAGGTGAATATCAAGCACTTGTGAAATCTCCACAAACAAACCTGGTAAAACTGACTGCTTGGAATCCCAGGACACACCTTAATGATTACATAAAACAAGCACCAAATCCCAGCCAATCCCACTACCACATGAACTACTCCATGCCAACATGCCCTGTTGCTTCTAGCGTGCCAAACGCTTCAGGACCTGGAGAGTTCTATCCTTCACCATAGCAACCCTTTTAATCCATCTTCATCAAATGGCAGGCACAGTTCCTTCTATTGCCAAGAACCTAGTGGTTTTTGATGATGAAAGCTTCTCTGCCTTTTATTTCAGCTGCCCAAGTCCCCACGAGGCAGGAAAAGGGCCAGCGGTGTGCTCTTGGCGGAACATACCACAAACAGACTCAATACTTCTGTATAATCAATGCACATGGGTAAAGAGAAGGTCATTTCTTTGTTGGTCGTCTGGATTATTATGCAAGATTTGTTTTATATGGCTGTATTCATACTACCCTGAGTTTACCCGTAAAAGAGAAAGATTGAGCTTGAAAGTAATTGTGGTCATATCATCCATATGGAGTTAATGCAAACAAATCAGATCACCTTTATTCGTCCCACAGAGGGGACATTTACATTTGTTACAATAGAAAAGAGCAGCTTAATGTTTAACAAGAAGTATGCATAAAAAACTAAAACAAAATTAAATATAAAAAACCCCGGTACTTTAGATTTAAAATGTTAAAAAAAATCTATAAAACATAAATTCTGCGTTAACTATAGGTCTGCAATATGTTTGCATTAACTGTTTGTAGAACCAGTCCCCCTAAAGATATCTCTCTCTCTCTCTCATGAACCCTGACCCACAATAATTTGATAAGGGTCAAAGTTTACAATGAGCTGCTTCAATTAACTTAATCCCCTAATTGGTCCTGGTCAGTTTAGATCCCATTTATGGCCATAATCCTAATGACAAAATACACACATTGGCCTAAATCATCCCTACACAGGCTATACACCCCATTCATTAACAGAGTAACTGAATCAGGACTTTTGGATGCATCAAGCTTGGGCAAGCTAGAGGTTTATTAAGGACAAGCCTAAACCATGAATGCCCACGAGACAGAGGGTCTTCCTTTGCAAAGCTCCACGGGCTTCAATCTTCAATGGCAGTTGTGTGGCCTATTGGACCGTCCTAAACGGAGGCTAATTAGCAAGACATTATGGTTGCGTCCACCAGCCCAGCAGGACCAAGGGTAATGTACAGAAACGGATTATTTAACCCCTCAACTGCCATTCTGCGAGAGACACAGGAAGACTCGTTCCCACCAGGGAGGGGTGTTTAAAGGAACATCTGACTAGTGCATTTGGTTTCAGCTGTGGTATTGTCCTGTTTACGACGTGGGAAAATAAAATGAAACTTTAAAAAAAGGTTGTAATAACAGAAGATGTCTCATTTTCCAAATATTGTCAACCTGGAAACTGAAAAACAAACAAGCTGCTGGGAATATCTTTCTGTTTACCCCAGTGAATACCTCCAAGATTTGCAAGAGGACGTGTTTGAGTGCCGAAAACTCACTATTGTCCCTGAGGCCACTAGCAAACAGTGGGTTAGTGGCCTCATGGGCCTGCCACATGAAGCATTTACGGAACAATAAATCACAACGGCAGCTTTTCACTTTGCACGGGAAAGAGGGAATGGAGTGTGTGTGTGTGTGTGTGTGTGTGTGTGTGTGTGTGTGTGTGTGTGTCTTTGTCCATGCGAGATGGTTAGTGGTGGGAGGATTGTAGGGAGTGATAGGGGAGGAGTTTTGGTGGGGATGGGGGGTGGGGGTTGTGTGTTATTTGGGGTAGTACTCTCCCTTGGGATTTGTCCCAAATTTACCCCTGCACCCCACATCCCTGATTCTGTGGGGGTTATGAGAGAAGGAGCGAGTGAGAGACATTCCTGGGCATAATAAGCCCTGGTGAATGAAGGCTACAGGGGGATCAGACTCTGATCCTGATGAGAAGGAGGCCGCGGATCAGGAGCTGCTCTGAGGCTGCCAGTAACACATTGCCAGGTTTTTACTTCATTAGCGTCATGGAAACCCAACATTCCAGCCTCTTGTTTGGGAGTGGGGACAGAAGTTGCAGGAGCGAGGGGAGGAGGGGGATCCATAATGAAAACATTGTCAGATCATTCAACATCGAGATGACACCTTAATACGCTGTAATGCAATTATAGAGCGGGGCCTAGTCTCCAACATTGAAATGTTATGGACCTATACATATGCACGCATAAGTCTAAAGGCTCCCATATGGTAACATTGTATACTGATGATCTGGTATAGAAAGGGAATCAAATAGGTTACATTTTGCCTACACATTGTACACAGCCCAGGATGTGAAATTATTGATTTGGTACCCCACCAGTATAAGCATCTATGCAGGTCCAATGTTCACCTGCTTGGTGGAAGCAATGGACACGTTTTGTTATCTGAAGAACGGTTGAAAACACGCAGTGAAACAAAGTTTGATCTATTGGTGTCATGCAACAGTCGATTCTGACTTGTATAATGCGCAATACACAAACATAGTGTTATAATAGACCACACCTGGAATGTATTTACTGTCCTTACCAAAGGGAAACTGCTCATCTGTGTTCATAACCTTGTTATCCTTTATACTGTTGGGTTTGTTCAATGGATGTGTCATTTTGATTGCAGCAAAAGAATACTCAGAGGATATAATCAGGTATTTGTTGAGAGACACTAACTGAGTCTCTAGAATGCAATACATGTGAAGGCTACCATACAAGAAATAGTATGTTATTGTTGTGAGAGGCCATTGATTACAAATAATGCCGTTGCTTTAACTGATGTGTACCATGAGGAAACTATCAGTTGGAGGTCGTGGCATCAATGGCTTGACTCTTTGAAACAGGAAACTTCCATGAGGGTCTGACACAATATGACTTGGCAACATTCCTTTCGCTCTGGCCCTAGC